AGGTAAGGTCTGAGTGCCAGAAAAGAAGGGCCTCAGGGAGGTTGCAGGGAAGAAGCCTCCTAAAGAAATGCGCCTTTCTTTTTTTTTTTTTTTTTTGCATTTTTGGGGCCAGGGCTGGGTTTGAACCCACCATCCTTGGCGTATGGGGTCGGCACCCTACACTTTGAGCCACAGGCACCACCGAGAGATGCGCCTTTCAACCAACCTCTGAGGACTTAGGGAGCTGGCGGGGATCAAGACTCCTACTCATGGTCTGCAGAGAACTGTAATTCAAGTGTGTGCACTACAGGACCCTCGCCAAGCCGTGCCCTGGGGTTACACCAATGAACAGGACCGGAGCAGTAAGGACAGAAAAGACCTTCCAGGACAAGGGCCTGGGGTGTGTGCGCAAACGCCAGGGATGTGGGAAGCCTGTCAAGTCCCCCAGTGATCTCGACCAACAAGGGAGGACAAGAAGGCCCTATGTTCCCCCACACTGCTTTCCATGCCTCACCGCAGGGAACCCCAACTCTAGGAAGAGGAAGGTGGTGCTCAGAAGTCACGGGCAGTTCGGAGCTGCCAGTCTCCCTCCTAGAACGGGGAGGCTGTGGCCGTGCCAGGCGGGATGCTCTTGGGAGTCGAGCTTGAGGGGTCCGCGCGAGCCCAGCCAAGCTCTGGCGGGAATTCTGGAGACCCTGGCCTGGCCTGGCGGGAACTCGCCCCCCAACTCCCGCCATGCCTGGGCCCCCTGTCCCCGGACCAAAGATGCAGAGGCCATGGTGGGTGCCCGGTGCAACGCGGCAGATGTGGCGTGTCCTTTGGGACGGGACCCCAAACTCTGGGGTCCCACAGCGGTGGCCTGCACCCCCTAAACTGAGTAGTCCAAGGTTTTCAGATCGCCTCCCGGGACGCCGGGGAAGGCCCCGGGTGCGCAAGCGCGGGTGCAGCCCAACCCGGAGCAGAACCGCAGTGCACGGGCAGGTCAGGCCGCAACCCCGGTGACAAGGGCAATCCTCCATCCCAGGCGCTCCCTTGCCTCGCCCTTGGAAGGCGTCTGGCCACCAACCAGGCCTTTCTTCACGACGTCCCAGAAGCCTTTTGCTACGCGCAGGAACAGGGATTGGGCGCGGACAAAAACCCAGTTTACCCGACGGCGAAGGCCAACCAAAAGTCACCCACCCATGCGCAGCCAGCACGCTGCACCTAGCGGCGCTGAGCCGACGGCGAGACCCAAAATGCAGTGCGTCCGAGGTGCGGCCGCCCTGGTGCACGCCGGGAACCGCAGCGGCGCCTCGAGATGCGAGTCGCACCGGTGCACGCCGGGATCGGTAGTCCGCTGGGGCGCAGGTCCGCCCATCACCTGGCAGTCCACGGACGCCTGAGGAGCCCAATGGGAGCGGCAGGCTGGCCGCCCCGCCCAGAAGCTCCGGACTACTGTGCCGGGACATGGCCGCCACCAGTACCGGGTCCTTGAGCTGAGCGCCTGCTGCCAGCAGCCAGCCTCTGCCGCCAGCCGTCTGTACGGGCTGGGTCCCGAGGCGCCGCCGGGACGGCAAGGAGCGGCGGCTACTGCGGGGGAAGAGGAGGCTGCAGCAGGAGGCCGGAGCGGCTGCCGCGTCCGGACACATGGCGTCCATCTTACTTAGGAGCTGCCGCGGCCGGGGGCCTGCCCGCCTCCCGCCACCTCGCGCCGCGGCCTCGCGGGGTAAGCGGCCCGGCGCTCGGTTGACGGCTTGGGGCGGGCCGAGCGGCACGGCTGGGGTGAGGGGGTCGGGCCTAGCTGCCCTGCGGCACCCCAGGGCGGAGCCCGCGCTCTGGTGGGTGGGGTGGGTGGGGATTCGGGCGCCGCCCGGGGCTGGGGTCCCACTTGCTGAGATGCGGGCGCGGCGGAACCGTGGGGAGGACTGGTTCTTGGTCCTGCCAGGTTCCTCCCTGTCGCGCCGGGTTCCACTGGGTCTCTCCGGGCGGGTTGTCTCCGCGAGGTCAAACGCTTAGTCGTCTTGGCCTTCAGTGTCCCTGCCTGCTCTTGGGGTTCTGGGGGCCGGGTTTCGGACGGTGCTGCCAGTGCTGGGTGGAGTCGCAGGGACTCTGCCTGGTGCTATGACCTTAGTTGTCCCGGTCCCCGCAGGTCACTGCTTCCGAGAGAGGGCGTTGGGAAAGTTCTGAAGGGTTGGGACAGCCCTGGGTGTACCTTCGCATGATTAAGCTCAATGGAACGTGGTGTCTTCTCTTGAGGACTGTTGTGCTTTTGCCATGCTCAGGGCCCTGGAGATGTCACTGGGTGGCAGGGGCAGACACTGGTGGATTGCAGGAGCCCTCCTGGTCTGTGGGACTGAGAAGATGATGGCAACACCTACAACACCTTGGGGTGTGATTGGGTGCAGCCTGCATCCGGGAGTCACGCAGGCCCTATGCCTCACAGAGTCCTTAGGACAGTTGTGCATGGCCTTATCTAGCCCACTCTGGCAATGTGGCTGCATTTCTCTCCCTCCATCTCTCTCTTAATTAACCATCTGATTGTGTGTCTTGTTTGTGAGATTGGGATAAACAAAATTTGCTCTGTGAGAGAGAAATTCAAGTAAAATAACTTATTTAAAGGTGTTTTATGGCTTACAGTGACACCACAGGAAATGCAATTGTTGTCTTTGTTAACAATAATTTCTGCTTTGCCTCAGATTTTTGGAGTGTAGGAAGGATGTTGAATGGCAGGAGCTGTGAGCAGCCTGATTGTGGAGCTCAGTCTTTCCATCTGCAGTTAGAGCTTTCTGGACCTCTAGATAGGTTAAGGATGGTGTTAAGAGTACCCTGGTCACTTTGAAGTTCTGCAGCACGTTTTTTTCACTAAAACTTAGCAGATTATTATTGTAGTTCTGTCCTTTCAGGAACACAGATGTTTTCTGTAGTTACTACTATTTTTTTGTGACAGAGACACTAAGGGGCTGATAGTGGGTTAAACAGCAGGTTTGCTGTAGGACCAACAAGAATTTCAGAACTTTTTTTTTTTTTTTTTGAGACGGAGCCTCAAGCTATCCCCCTGGGTAGAGTGCCATGGCATCACGCTCACAACAACCTCCAACTCCTGGGC